CCATAACACTAGTGATCAGAAGATAGGCTCGTCACATGTGAGTATATCATATTGGCTCGTCACATCATCACATGTGCATGTTTTAGAGATTTTGTATTTTTAAATTTAAACCACAGAAGCTCACACACATCTAAGATACTATGAGAGTTTGAATATAAGACATCTAATCTAGATATCATGGGAGTTTGAACATGAAACCTATAGTGTGCAAATCAATGCTCTTTCACATTGGGTTAGACCTCATTGGCAGTTTAGAGACTCTTGAATTAGTAAGTAGTACTTCAATTTTCCAGTATGGGGATTTTCATTTCCCTTCCCATGCTTAGGTTTTTGTTGGATGGTTAATTACGTTTTTTATTCACAATGGAGCTAATGACTTGGAACAATACTCCACATATTCATGAAACTGTGAATGACGTCCAAGGAATAAGATATAAAACCTAATATCACAAAGTGGGCCTTTATAGAATGTTGAAAATGAGCAGGGAGGATAGAATGATGGGTTATTGCGAGGGGTTATAATGAAAGGGTTTTTAATAGGAATTTGATTGAATATAGAGTTATTATTGGATTATTGAATTGAACCCCCTCATTGTATACCATCAACATAGCCTCGTTATAGAAGCTCCCTAAAATGAGATTGAATAGACTGGGTCGTTGGCGTCCAAGCCTCTTAGGACGATGATTGATTTATAGATTCATTAGGTCCCACAAATGCAAATGTCGAACATTAAATTTGAATTTGACAACTTACATTTTACTTGATATGTCAAATTAAAATATTATTTTATTATATATTGTTTATTGGTGTACAATCAAGGCACATTAAAATAATAATTCGATAATGAAATAACATCACAAAATGAAACAATCAAAAATAACAGTAAGAGAGAGAAATGTTATTTCACTTTGGACATTTCGATTGAAGTGAGAAAGTGCCACTTTAACATCTCCCTTAGAAAAGAAACAGATAAAGGGATGAGTTCTTACTGAATCAAACTTGTTTCTAGCCAAAAACAAAAAGAACCAAAAGAAAAAAAGGAAAAAAAAAGATGAAATCATGAAACAGATGAAGAAAAGAAACCGAAACTCACATAGTATACCAAAGTTTCAGAAAAATTATTCTAGTTCAAGAAAGAAACAATCTTTTTCTTCAAGGCCACAGCGTTGTCACAAATTGGATTGAACAAATGGAACACATGGTCCTCCCCCTTTGCTTCTACGACCTCCACAGCACCATTCCACCCACTCTTTTTCAGTATCTCACTATAATGCCATCCTCTATCTTTCAACCCATCTTTCTCAGCAACACAAACCAGCACTTTCTCACAACCCAATTTCCCCAATTTCAGATCCTTAGCCGGGTTTATAAGCGGGTCGTCGGATCCACAAGTCGAAGGGCAAGCAAAACGCCACACACCAGCCATATACTCTTTTGTAGCTGCAGGGGTAGTTATCTCTGCCCCAACTGGCTCTGTGCCCCAAAAGTAAGGATGCACCAAAACAATCCCAACCAGCTTAACACCAACCAATCTCTCACACCCCAATTTCACAGCCATGTTGTGTGTTATATTAGCACCAGCGCTGTCCCCAGCGAAAAACACACGCTGCAAATCTGCAAATCTGTTTAGCCAATCTTCAGAGCCGTTTCCATCAAAATGGGAAGCAACCCATTTGATAGCAGCCCATGAATCATCGTAAGCAGCCGGCAGAGGGTGCTCTGGTACAAGCCTATAGTCAACAGAGACTGCAACAACATTGGCCTCAGAGACTAAGGTGTTGACGTAGCTGTGATATGCTGGAGAAAATGGACTTTCAACGCAGAAGCCGCCTCCATGAAAGTAAATGAGAAGAGGGAGTTTGGTTTGGGGTGAGTCTGTGCTGGTTTTGGGAATGTAAATTCTTGCAGATATGGCTGGTTCTTCTGAGATCACAACGTCCTTCGATTGGACGCCATTTTCTGGATTTGTTGATGGCGGAACTCTGTCTGTTCCTGCGAGTCTCTCAACTCGACCATCTTTGTATACTTTAATCATTGGAGAGAAATCATGGGCTAAGTCTTCGTTGCTCATGGTTTGGACTGGAGAAGGAAGAGAAGAAAATAACAAGAAGCAACTATGGAGGCCTCTCTCTCTCTTTTTCTTATGCAGACAGCAGAGTAGAACCAAGTTCTATTTATGCTGGAGTCTTGGTGTTTCTACAGTACCAGTGGCAAAGCTAGGATTTCATGTGTGTGGGGGCCTCTTACAAATTATAAAGAATCAAAATTTCGAACTCACAATACATACGAAAAATAGTGTATATATATATATATCACATATGTCAAGAATTATATTACTTATTGGCTGCAATCATAATTGTCCTTGACAAAGGGATAGACAAATAGATTTTAAGCAAGAAAAATTGTAAGAGATAGACAAAGAGTAGCAATTTAGCAAATATCTTTAAAGCTTTTTCCCCCATTAAACCCAATAGAAAGAAAAAATTAAAATTTCACAAACTAAAAAAAACCTTAGGTCCCTTCATGCATTCATAACATACATGAAAAAATGTTTTATATAAAAATATTGACTAAGTATGAAAAATGATTTTTTGAAATAATAATTTTCTCAAGATAATTTTTGGCGGCTTTTATTCCTTACACATCAAATAAGAAAACTTGATTTTATGGGATTAGTATAAAGTATTTATTGAGTTAATGAGCCATCATTTTTAGCCTAAATCTTATTTTCCACTAAAACCTATTTTTCATATTTTGATTTTGTGGGAATTTGATTTTCTTATATTTTTATTCGAATCCAAATAGGGGGTACTTTCTTATTTACATTGTAAACTTAAGTAAATAGAGTATTATAAAAATAAATGAAAGTAAAAGAACGAAGACATTTACTTAAATGCTGAAAATAGAAATAAAGTAATCTGTACATCTGGAGTGCATCACCACCAACTGAGCAAATGGGCAATTTGAAGCACCTCATTGTGTCTTAATAGATTCGCCACAACACATGTGGGTACATATCAAAACGTAAATTATTTGAAATAATATACATATAGAAATACATAACAGTATATTACTTTTAAAATATATAAAAGCTTGAGTAGGGGCCTAGGACCACACTAGTCCTAATGTGGCTCCACCCCTGTAACCCGGTACAAGTGTTATAATATAAGTGAATTACATGATTTATATTTCCCACATTTAAGGTAAGAATGTGACGGTGATCCAATACCACATTATAATTATTTCTTTTTATGGAACCTTCAAATTAACTCTAATAAAACAAATTGGTTGCTCTTGTTGACATTTTTGCCTTCCTTGGTATATGCACGCATCTAGGTTTGGGAGGCAGGTAAGTCTTTTAATATATTTGATTTTGAGGTCTTTAAAGAATTTCAGTGGCCAAACTGTCTAAGCTCGCATCTAAATTCAAAGTCTTCTCTTTTTTTCACGAGATTTGTTTTCCGTGCTAATGCATGTGCTACTTCTCTCAACATTACTTTTCCCGTCGTCTTTTTCACGCTATATTGATTTCATTTGCGAAGTCTTTTCCTCTAATTTGGTCCCCTTCATTAGTCAGTTTGATTTAATATTGTAGTTTTTAAATAGCAAAGTTGTCAAATAGTACTATTAGGTCTCGTTTAATACGGATGATTAGACTGAACTAGCCTAGATTAACTAAATAACTACATTTTATGTGCAATTTCCGTGGGATTAAAAAGGACAACCTTTCATGAATAGTCCATTTTAATCCTACAAATTTGAAGATAATATTCATATTCTTTTTTACTTGCAAATGAAACTTAATCATTTAACTAATCCAGTCTAATCCTCCGTATCTTTTTACTTGCAAATGAAACTTAATCATTTAACTAATTCAGGCTAATCCTCCATATCAAACGGGATGATTGATTTTTTTCGTTGAAGGCACTCAAAATCATTTATGATTATTTAATTGAAAAGTAAATACGTGCAAAGTTTTTCTCTACCAAGTGGCAAGTGATGTGCATCATGCATGACGCTAAAAATTTTCCTCTCTCATGCGCATGAAACCCTCCCCATCAGTTGCGACATTTGAATTGAACACGTAGGGCCGATGCTTTCAACTTGCAAGAAACGTCTCTGATCGTTGAAAGAATATTATAGCAAATGACCAAAATGCCAACCTGTGGAATATCCACATCCCAAAAATATTATTATTCTTATTTGAAAAAAAAAAAAAAACCAGTGCAATTTGAAATATGGTAAATCACTTGACAGACACGTGAGCTTTGAAAATGAAACCCAGCAGTGCATTATAAAATTTAAGTTAGTCGTATACGATGCCAACACCACGTGACATACCGTGCATCCAGTTAATTAATTACAACCCTAAATTCTAAAACTTAAATCTAATGTATTATAATTTAAGTGAATTCATTAGATTTAATGTATTATAATTTGAATAAATTCATAACATCACCGTCGCAATAAGTCGGTCAGTCACTGTAGTTGTTGACATATTGAATGGGGGACACAAGAAGGCTGTTGAACAAGACTGCTCGAAAATGAATAAACTTCGTCCATAACAGTAGTGATGAGAGGATGGGGTATGATGTGAAATGCCGTCCTTGTGGGGATTCTCCTTCCTATCTTTTTCAAAGTGATCCGAAGAGCATTCAATTATGAACAGAGATTTGGTGTTCCATACAAGATCCCAAGCGACCAGGACAGTTTTGAAAAGCACTTCCCAGATCATCCACTACATCAGTCTTGATAAAAGTTCATACTTCTGCTGGTTATATATTTGTAAATCAATCTAAATATGTAAAAGATTTGTTGCACAAAGCTGGTATGAGTTCTTGTTGACTTGTTCTACTCCCTGCAAACCTTACACTCAGGTTTTGAAAGATGCTGATGAAGATGATCCCAACTTTAGAAGTATTGTAACCAAGAAGTGAGAAACCTCAAACTAATCTGAAAGTTTTTGCGATCCACTGAGACAGATCTTTAACTTCGCCGATCAGAGTCTATTTTATTTCCTTTTTTAGCTCCACTTGTTTTAAAATCTAGATCGTTTTATTGAGTACCATTTCTTCCAGATCTTAACATCCACAGGTTCAAGTCCTCTCATTGCTGGCCAAAAATGAATTGTAAAATGACTTGTTTAGATTTTTAATTCAAAACACATCCCACGATTAAAATTAGGAAGATCACTAGACCTAGGCCTTAAACTCATCACATTTAGAAAAACAAAGGTGATTTACAATTTCCTAATACATAATACCAAACTAAGTACACCAAGATTTTCAGGCAAATTATTCTAATTCAAGAAGGAAGCAATCTTTTTCTTCATGGCCACAGCATTCTCACAATTGGGATTGAACAAATGGAACCCATGTTCCTCCCCCTTTGCTTCTATGACCTCCACAATCCCTTTCCATCCACTCTTCTTCAGTACCTCACAATAATGCCACCCCCTATCTTTCAAACCATCTTTCTCAGCAACACAAACCAGCACTTTCTCGCAACCCAATTCCCCCAACTTCGGATCCTTTCCCGGGTTGAAAAGCGGGTCATCGGATCCGATACTCAAAGGGCAAGTGAAAAGCCACAATGCAGCTATATACTCTCTTATAGCTTCAGGGATAGTTAACTCTTCCCCAACTGGCTCTGTGCCCCAAAAGTAAGGATGTATCAATACAATCCCAATAAGCTTAACACCAACCAATCCCTCACACCCCAATTTCAAAGCCATGTTGTGTGCTATATTAGCTCCAGCACTGTCACCACCGAAAAACACACCGCGTAAATCTGCAAATCTGTTTAGCCAATCTTCAGAGCCGTTTCCATCAAAATGGGAAGCAACCCATTTGAGAGCAGCCCATGAATCATCGTAAGCCGCCGGCAACGGGATTTCCGGGGCACGCCTGTAGTCACCG